GTGTTCGATCCTGGGGTTACGGGTTCTCTCTCTCTCTCTCTCTCTCTCTCTCTCTCTCGTCAGGTTCAATCTTGTTGGTGTTCGATCCTGGCGTTACGGTTTCTCTCTCTCTCTCTCTCTCTCTCTCTCTCTCTCTCTCTCTCTCTCGCGTTCGATCTTGTTGGCGTTAGACCTTTGGGTTACGGGTTCTCTCTCTCTCTCTCTCTCTCTGTCGTCGTGTTCGATCTTTGGGTTATGGGTTCTCTTTCTCTCTCTCTCTCTCTCTCTCTCTCTCTCTCTCTCTCTCTCTCTCTCTCTCTCTCTCTCGTGTTCTTTCGTGGGGTACGGGTTCTCTCTCTCTCTCTCTCTCTTTCTCTCTCTCTCTCTCTCTCGTCGCGTTCGATCTTGGGGTTACGGGTTCTCTCTCTCTCCTTCTCTCTCTCTCTCTCTCTCTCTCTCTCTCTCTCTCTCTCTCTCTCTCTCTCTCTCTCTCTCGCCTGTTGAGTCCGATTTCGGGCCTTGGATTTCGCAACTTTCTTGGCGTATGGGGGGGTGGGCTGGGGGAGGGGAGCGATTGTCTCTTTCTCCGTCTCTCTCTCTCTCTCTCTTTTTGTTTGAATGGTTGAACGGAATTTGAACCCCGTTCCTTTTTTTTGTCTTTTTTTCCCTCCATATTTGTTATGTAGAGTGGGGGATAGTCATGCTGTGAAAATCTTCCACCAAGTGGGGGGGTAGTTTTCATGCTGTTAAGATATCGAACCCGTGGGGGGTACTATCACGCTGTGCCAAATTCTGGACCTAATGGGGGGTTCTACCCCATATGGGGTTCTGTTATGGTGTCAAGAATTTCGACCCCATGGGGGGCGCTGTCGTGCTGTCGAAAATTTCGACCCCTTGGGGGGTGCTGACTTGCTGTCAAAAATGGCGACCCCGTGGGGGGGGTGCAGTCACGGTATCGAATTTTTCTATGGACGACTCTTTGCCGTACGTCTGTTCATGGGCATCCATGGATCAAATCTGTCGGGCAGGTCAATCCATCAACTACTCTGTCAATAATCAATCAATCAATCAATCAATCAATCAATCAATCAATCAAGTTGAAGTAACCTTAATAAAGTTCAATAAACCAATCAATGAAACAATCGGTCAAATCATACCATCTTCCAATCAATCAAACAATCAATCAATCAATCAACCAATAAGTCAACCTATCGACTGATCAATCAATTGACTCAATCCATCTATCAACGAAGGCTTCTCTTGATTGATTGATTGATTGATTGAATCAGTTTGATTGATTGATTGGTTTATTGCTTCATTGATTGACCGGTTGATTGATTGATTGATTGAACGGTTGATACATGTGAATGGAGAATGGAGGAGTGACAACATTGAGGGCCTGGGAGTGAACCGACTTTAACAAGTGTTGTTCTTTTTGCTTTCTTTGTGTCCACGCCGTAACGAAGCACTTTATGGAAGTGGGAATCAATGGCCAAGCGGACAAGGGGAACAAAAGGCGCGTATGCAATTACTGAGACAAGCCCGTGGCCGGGACAGTCAACAGGGCAAGGGAGCATTTCCTCAAGGGGTCGAGATGCAACGTCGAGCGCTAGAGAGGTACTATACCGAAAGAGTACTTGAGGAGGCAGAAGGGTAGGTCGGCTGGCAGGTCCGAATTGGGGGCCAACATGGGAGAGCCCGAGACGGGGGAGTCATCGGAGGATGAGAATGCTCCGCAAACGTCGGCATGAGTTGTGGATCCATCAGGGTCTGCAGTAGGGCTCCGCTAGACGAATCCGCGGCGTTGGCGACAGGAGTTGTGGATCCATCGGGTTCTGCAGTTGGGCTTCGCCTGACGACGAACACAGATAGTGCCACTGTCATTACGACACACAAGCAAACGCAGCGCACAATAGATGATTGGATGACGGCCGAATTCATCATGTTCAACATGATGAAGAGCGAATATTTGGGACAAATGGTGCACACGCTAATGAATGCGCCGAAAGGCTTCGGGTAATGCAAGGACGAAGAGGGTTGAAGTAACAAGGGGCAGGGTCGGGAAGAGGGTGGAGGACTTGCAACAGGAGTGGCCAACCACTGGCTGCACGTTGCAGCTTGATGGTTGGACAGATCGCTGATAGAGACCACACATCAACGTGGTGGTCTCCTTCCCTAAAGGTTCCATCTTTTGGAGAAGTGTGTGCATGTCACGGCGCAACAAGGGCGCATCAGCATACTACGCAATTTTGAAGAGGGCAATAGAGGAGATAGGTGCAGAGGCAGTGGTGGGGGTCATTATGGACAATGTTGCTGTTTGTGCAGCTGCGGGGCGAATGATTGAAGTAGATTACCCTCACATCTTCTTTGTCCCGTGCACAGCACACTACTCCGACTTGATGTTCGAGTCTTTCACGAAGATCGGGTGGGTCGGTGCAATTATGAAAACGGCATCGGAGGTTGCAAAGTTCTTTTCGAACCATTTGCGGGTGCGGATCACGCAGCGAAGATCTGTTCGTGAAGGCAACACATTCCATCTTGGACGACACCTTCTGGGCAGATGTCGAGAAGGTGATGCAGGCGTCCAAGAACCTGCCCAAGCTTTTGAAGAAGGTCGACAGCACGGGCCCCACCATTAGTAAGGTGTACGCCCGTATGGACAGCGAAGTGGAGAAACTAAGGGAGAGCGAGCACTTTGCGGAGGCGGAGAAGGAGGAACTCGAGGAGATCATCATGCGGCGCTGGAATGCAATGACATCACTGCTGCATTGTGCTGCGCTGTTCTTGGATCCGGAGTACAGAGCGTCGTGGCCAGAAACGGATGTAGAGGTTGCAGATGGGTTTTGGATATGGCGTTACTCGTGGTGCAAAGGGTCGTTGTTTGTCGAGGTCGACTCAGAGGTTTGTTCTTGGATCGAGGGCACTGGGGGACACAATTGTGAAGATGCAAGGATACAAGCCCATCTGATGCAGCCGGAGAGGTGGTGGAGGAAGTGGTGCAGTGACATGCCCATCCTCCAGAAGCAAGCCGTTCGTCTCCTTGGACAAGCGTCCTCCTCCTCTTGTTGCGAGAGGAACTGGAGCTTGTTCGAACGAATTCATAGTTCTTTGTAACAACCTCGGCGCCATCAAGCTTAGCACGCTGGTTTTCAACAGATGGAACCAGTGTTTGTTAGATGCCTTGATTAAGAAGCCGAAGGCTGATAATGATTCCACGCAGTGGGAAGTTGATGAACCGTTGGAAGATCTCACATGGGATAAGATGGCCGCGGATGCACGGATGTGGTTGCTGGAGTGGCGTGCCCGGCTGCACAGAACAGCGCCGGTTAGTGATGCAAGTGAGAACGATGACTCAGGCTCCGACAACGACGACAATCCCGTTGAAGCACCACAAACGCCTGTTCCAGAGGAGGTCACAATCCAACGTCATCGGCTGTGCAGCAATCTGCTTGAGCTCGAGAGACAGCTCAACGAGTCATGGAGGAAGGCCACAAAGGCTTCCAAGTTCCTGCCCCGGCAACATTTGCATGAGTTGGATCAGGCCACGAGGACCATGACCGTTGAGCATGCCAACAAATACAAAGCTGCGAGGGCAATTGCATGCGCACCGCCCTCGATCCCGGCCAAACGAGGGAGAGGGAGACCTCGGAAGGAGGTTGCAGCTCAAGGCGGGACAGGTGATGTCCTGAGGACGTGGAAGGTGGCAATTTGGCAGGAGGTCCTGCACCCGCATGTGTCAACAGTAAGCGGGGACGACCGCAGAAGGAGCCCGTGCAAGAGGAGGACAAAGCAACTAAGGGGGACAGGTGATGAGGATGGTGAGGACGTGGAAGTTGGCAATTTGACTGGAGGTCCGGCACCCGCACGTGGAACAAGAAAGCGGGACCAATCGCAGAAGGAGCCCGTGGAAGAGGAGGAAGCAGCGCCAGAAGGGACAAGCAGCAATGAAAGTGGTGGCAGCGGTGATGAAAATGATGGCAGCAGCGACGAAAGTGATGGCAGTGGCGATGGTCACGACGGGAGCGGTGGCAGCGATGGGACTGATGGCAGTGGCAAGGAGGAGGAAGGCGAAGGCAAAGGCGGCGAGAAAGATGGCTGTTCGCCGGAGGACGAGGGCGACTCCGAATACAGAGCCGTTTCACATTATTCAGACAACCCCTGCCGGTATTTCTGAAAGGTCCCTGCCAAAAATTGGCAAGAGTCCCGTCGGCAGGGGAAGGGTAGTCACTGGACGAGTTGTTACTGGACTTGTAGTAAGGATGGAGTAGGCCAGCTATATATGGTGTAGCTTCAAATTCAGGTCCGTGTTTCAGCAGTTATGGGTTACTGACTTACTAACTCGGCATGTGATTTTCAGGGCTTCACTCCACTACTCACCAAATGTGCAAAACTAGAATGAATCTTCTCCTAGAAACTGGACCATACAAGCCATACGTGTTTCTTTTCTGCAAGTGCTGACGAGTGGAGCGAGGCCCTTAGGGCCACTGCATGTAAGAAAATTGAAAACAAAAAAACAACACAGCTACTGTATGTGCAAAACTAGAATGAATCTTCTCCTAGAAACTGGAACCATACAAGCCATACGTTTTTCTTGTGCAAGTGCTGATGAGTGGAGCGTGGCCCTTAGGGCCACTGGATGTAAGAAAAGGAAACAACAAAAAAACGAGACAGCTACTGTAGTGTTTGTTGTAAGTTGTAACCCATAACTCTTGGAACACAGACCTGAATCCAAATCCAGGATATATTGCTGGCCTGCTCGTGTTCCTCTAGCAGTTCAATTCTTGTTCTTCCAAATGAATGAGATCCCCGCTAATTCTTTGCAGGGGACCCTTTGGAAAATATACTAAATCCAATGACAATGTGGACCCAAATTGTTATGTTTCTGTGCATTTACAATGTTTAAAAGGGAGGGACACTTATGGATACCACGGCCTACCCTTTCTGATTTCTGTTTTATATTATTTTGTAAATGAGCCGCATCACGTGCGTGCTCACGTGTGGGCATGCACTGTGCGGTGCTGATGCGCCGCAAGTATGGTGGGAACCTGTTAGAGGAGAAGGGGCGGGGGACTGGAAGGGGGATGGGCTACACGGCTCCTTAAACCACCAGTACACCCGAGGCTAAATGTACGAGCCTAAATTTGAATTTTGCCAAGCCTGAAAGCAACCGGTACCGCCGCTTGGAGAATTGAGGGTGGCATTGGTACCGGCAGAACCAAACTGCTGGACCAGCTGCCAGCAGATGAATGAAAAGGAGGTCGTCATTTTCACTCATGTGCCACGGCAGCCAAATTACATCTTCGACTCACACGGGTCCTACCGGACCCAACTTAGGGCCGGAGGGACACACCAGGGCCTAAAGGCCCGACCTTTTTGGGTTACAGGCCCTAAAGGCCTGATTCTGAACCAGCACCCCATCGGGTAGGCCCAAACGACACTTCGTTTGGGCCTGGCGGCGCTCTTRAAGCTGCCGCCCGCCGATTGAGGCTGAACCGTCCATCTGGACGGTCCAGGGTCTGGCCTGGCCTCGCAGCATTAAGGCCAGACCATTGCCTACCGGTATAAGTACCGGTACCTGCCTCAGTTGAGGCATCGACCCACCGGCATTGTACCGGTATGGTATGGTCAGCGCCAGAGCGCTGTTTTGATGCGCTAAACTTAGCGCAGGGGCTGGAGCAGGAGCGCAGCATAGCGCAGCAG